TTCTCGTATCCTACTCTGTTTTTCCAAAGATTTTTATCGCCGTTCAATTTTTTCAATAAGAAAAGTCATGTAATGAAGAAGCAATCCAGGATTCTGATTTTCCTTTGTCCAATTCAGATTCTTCTGTTTCCAGATAAGACTATTCATGCGTCATGTAATCGAGCAATCGGATTTTGTCGACGACTGCTTTCATCAGGTTATGAAGCTTCTGATTGAGATACTTAAGAAGTTGGAAATTAAACAAAATAGGACAGGCAACCCTCTTTTCAACCCCCCTTCCTTCCCAAAGTTCTCGATAAAACTTGCACTCTTCTGCACTTGGGAAAACTTCAAAACCGCGAATTGTGACGAAGTGGGAAAGGAAGGAGGGGGTTAGCAGGAAGAGGATGAAGCTTTGTTTGCTTGGTCCATTGCTCTCAATGGGTGGTCGCTTCAATTGTCTCGAAGATCGCTTGCTAAACATCTGGAAAAAATAGCAAAATTTATTTTATTCCTATATATTTTGGATCCTACTTATAATTTTAATTTATTCTACAAATTATGCAGTTCCGGTTTCCAGCCTACACCTTTTGCACGCTCAGAATTTTTGCTCTACAATGTGAGCAATGACTACACAAAAAATGGCTCTATAGTTGATCAGGTAATTGAAAAATTACAATTTTCAAGCTATAGACACTTGTTTTTGATTTTCTTTTATGTAATATTTTCCAAGTGCTTACAGCATCCAATAATCATTAATCAGATTTATTTAGCAAGGGATTATCGAAAATCAATCTTCCATGATTGTCAGACAGCATTTTCGTGTGAAGGTAAGGTCTGATATTAGTTCTAATAAACAGTCGTAACTCATATAAAATCGAATGAGCAGAAAATCAAATGCTGGCCGTTAGAAAATTCAGAAAAATTGCAGAGTTTTCCAAGCTATGAGTCTCTAGTCTAAACATTATCAAGAGAAAGCTTAGAACTAGATAGTTAGCATCCTTGCTTCCGCCTTTCTTGTTACATTCTCATCAATAGCCTCTAACGAATCTTCAAAAGCTTGTAGACATGCAATAAAATCGGTTTATAGGAGGCTGAGGCCGCGAAGAAGGAAGAGAGAAGAGAGAAGAAAACAAAACATAAATTCAGGGCTAATTGGAAGAAAAGATGAGAACCCTAACAACTTTAGTGAGACCGAATATTCAAGTTTGAAATGAGTTATTTGAAAAATTCGAATACTCAAGTATTCCATATCGATCAAAAAAGGGAGATACTGGATTACATGCATTTGAGTATTGGATATTTGAGGAATACATTTATTTAATTGTTTGAATCGAATCAAAAGAAACCCAGTTAATTGGTTATTCAAATAGCTGACGTAATTTGGATTTGTGATTCCAATATTTTTTTTCCGGTATGTTTGCTCAGATGGTTACAGTATTGCCGAAATGATTTTTATTATTTCTTTTTTTCCGAAATCTGATCGAATATTCATTGGAAAATCAAGCGGCAATTATTGGAATCTTTATTCGAGCACAAACATTTGAGAATGTTTGGAAGTGATTAACAATTTTGCTTCTCACACCTCTGAAGAGGATTAATCGAAAAGTTGGGCCAAATGAATGCTTTGTCTTACAAACCCTCGTACTGGCATA